CCCCCCCCCCCCCCCCCCGGCCTGTTTCTGGCGATCCCAGGACTTCTGTCCTCCTCCTGTCAGTGAGAGACACACACACACACGGATGCATGCACGGGTTGGTCTGACTCAGACGCTCAGCAGTGCGAGGTCACTGACCCTTCCGACCCCCCAATGTGTGGCAGATGGCTGTCTTTGGTGCACTCTCTCTATCTGTCATACCACACGCACACAAAATGTGCTCGTAGACAGAGAGCGCACGCACGCACATGCACACGCACACACACTTTCTTATTCTCCCACACTACTAGAAGGGAAAGGGAAGTGAAATATTGTGAAGTTAAGTCAATACATACAGGCGGTTGTTCTTGCTTTGCAGTGTTGTGATCAAAGACATAAATGCAGTGTGTGCAGTATCTATATTTATAACTCTTTCCTTACCGAGCAGCTGTGGCTCTCAGGGCTCCCTCTGGGTTGTGGACAGGTGGCTGCAGAGATAGCAGCCCCCATGCATCCATTCCGTCTCTCCCCCTTCTTTTTTTTTTTTACAAACACGGCTGAGCGGTCATTGTTAATTCTGCTGTAACGAAACTGAACACTTCAGACCTGAAGAGGAGCTGCTGTGAAGCCTGTAGCACCGATCTGTCTCGCTCATTGTGTTCGTCACATAGATGCAGTAACTAAAAAAAAACTGCCCACAGTATCAGGAACTAAGATCACATCGGTTCATACATATACATGCTCTTAAAGTTACAGTCTCATCCTGGTTAGGACTGACCTGGAACACACACACACACACACACACACACACACACACACACACACACACACACAGTAATTAACCACTAAATGTCCAGTTTTCTCATGTTTATTTCCCCTCAAGTAGCTTTAAGATCAGGTGAGTCATCTCTTCACATATATCAGCTTGTTCTAACTCCTCATTGAAGCTATACGACATCACACGGAGGTAAATATTCAACCCAAGGAATGAAATGATTTTAGAAAGGGTCAGCTAAGGGGTATTTCAGTCTCTTTACACCTTCACCCAGTTTCATGTTGCTCCCTCGTTCCTATTTTTCTTCCATCCTATTGCCAACCCGTCACACACTGTCCTCTGTCACACATCCTGGTCACCGGTGCAACCAGTGGGCGACAGAAAGTCGTCCCTTTGATTAAGTTTTAATGGCCCGTCAGCTCGACTCGTCTGCGTCTATAAATAGAGATAAATCTGTTTTGTTGGAGTAGAGGCGGAGCTGGAATTCACCAAGTTGTCAGCCCTTACTCTCATCCGCTCACCTACTCACCAACACCTGCATTTCACACGCAGCAATAACGATGATGGGGCTTTGGACCGGACTTTCAACCTAATTGTTACAGTGCAGTGTTGCCAAAAAAAGTAGTAATTAAATAAATGTACCTTAAGCTAGATATTACATGAAGAGATGCTTTTACCGGGGGAAAAGGGGGGGGGGGGGGGGGGGGGGGGGGGGGGTTGTTGGGGGGGGAGTGGGGGGGGAAAAAATTGTT